TCCTATTTAAAGAATTTATTCATAGTTAAAATTCAATTTATCATCCTACAAACCATGTGAACAAAAATCTCATCGCGATCCCATCTCTTATGTCTTAAAATTAAGTAATTTGAATTGAATTATAAGATTTTTTTTTTTTTTTTTGGAAATTGTAAGATGTTGGTCGCGGCAAATTACGATTAACCTCTTGGTTTCACTGATTGATTTCATTTTGTATAAATTATTGACCTTCGAAATTCGTTGATCTTAATTCATATTTCAATGGAAAATGAAACCAGATCCATCAAAGAATTCATAAAAGAAACACAAAAAAAATTCAAATAAATATGATAAACGTTTAAAATGGCTAGATTTCGACCGATTTCAAAATTTAAAAAAAAATTGGTGAAGGAGGATTTGCTAAAGTATATTCAGCAACTTGGTTGGATGGCGGGAAAATTTTATATTTACGGATACAACGAATAATACCAAAAAAAATTAGAACTTTACCAAATACTGTTGCTCTTAAAAGTATTAATGGATCAAATGAAATTTCTAATGAATATGTAAAGTTTAGTAATACCAGAATCATCAAGGACAACTGATATCGCATCAGATGATGATGATGCATTAGCGAATAATTTATGATCACCTATTGTTGAATTTTTTTATATTTTAAATTATTATTGATTTCAAAACTTCCAAAGTAAGGACCATCCGTTACTTAATGTGTTTGTATTAAAGAATTGGTACAGTTATATATTTCATCGATTCCTATATAAGTTAATGTTCAATTTTTATTTTTATTTCTTTTTTTAAAAAAAAAATTCATGTTTACCATTATGAAATTGACACATGCTTATATATTTGATATTTTATTAAATTTTTTACAAGATAGAATCACGTGAAAGACTATCGGTTGAAATTACTAATATAACGATAAAATCACAACTCAAATAATGAGTCTCGTAATGTATGAGCAGAACACATTTTAAATAATAAAAAGTTCGAGTTCTTTCCATCGACAATGTTACTAAAAACAGCATGATCTTCATGAATACGTATGTGTATTTTATACTTTACGTGTTTATCTTCCTAAAAAAATATTCACATAATTTATACTTTTGAAAGAAAACTTTTCATTAAATGGAACCTCTTGTTCACACTTTGAACGAACAAAAATATATTCTGCTAGTATTTTTAATACATTAAACAGCTTTTCTAACCATGACACGACGACAATATTTACAAAATATTGCTAAAGGAAGTTTTCCACAGTAGCAAAAAATTAAATTATAAAGGTACCCATGCTTACACTAACTCGTCTATTGTTTAAGAACTGAATCACTTAGAGTTTTGGAGCTTCTCTAACTATAAAAAAAATTTCTTTTTATTTTACATCTATTTTAACTTAATAACAGGTTCTACATTTCGCTACGATAGATCACTTGTCAAAGATGCATGTTTAATGAAGAATTATATTTACAAATTTAATTATCGAAGTTCTTACCATATCATGTTCTAAAGAGAACTTCATGAAAATAAGGCAAGTTTTTTGAGTTTTGTACTTGTTTAGGCGAAGCTTTAGCGTAAAAAGTTTATCCCGTGTACTGACGAGGTCATGTTTACATTTCAAAAGCTCCCAGATTCCTCCCATGTTCTAAGAGAGAGCTCTGTAAATGAGGCAAGTTTGATTGAGTTTTGTACTTGTTTAGGCGAAGCTTCGGCGTAAAAAGGTTATCCTGCGTACTAACGAGATCATGTTTACATATCGAAAACTCCCAGATTCCTCCCATGTTCTAAGAGAGAGCTCTGTAAATGAGGCAAGTTTTATTGAGTTTTGTACTTGCTTAGGCGAAGCTTCGGCGTAAAAAGGTTAATCCTGCGTTCTAACGAGGTCATGTTTACATACCGAAAACTCCCAGATTCCACCCATGTTCTAAGAGAGAGCTCTGTAAATGAGGCAAGTTTTATTGAGTTTTGTACTTGTTTAGGCGAAGCTTCGGCGTAAAAAGGTTAATCCCGCGTTTTAACGAGGTCATGTTTACATATCGAAAACTCCCAGATTCCACCCATCTTCTAAAGAGAACTCTGTAAATGAGGCAAGTTTTATTGAGTTTTGTACTTGCTTAGGCGAAGATTCGGCGTAAAAAGGTTAATCCCGCGTTCTAACGAGGTCATGTTTACATACCGAAAACTTCCAGATTCCACCATATCCTAAAGAGAGGTTTGTAAATACCACTTTCTAATGAGGTTATGTTTACATTCCAAAAACTCCCGGGTCCTAAACTTTCCTAAAAATGAAATTTAATCCCATAATCAAAATGAAAATAATGAAATTTAAGAAATCAAAGTAAGTATATCAACGGTTTGTAATTTTTCAAATATTCGTTAGTATTAAATTTATTCTTATACAATATGCAAACTGCATTCCGGTAAAATTTTTTTTTTGGAATAATATAAATATTTAAGCATCGATCCTGCAGTTTTTTGTTAAATGTCAGGAATTGATTTTATTTACTTTTAATTTCCTTTAAAGCTTCATTATCTACTTTATTTTTTGATTACACTTGAGATTACTTTCACTCAGAGTCTTTACAAGGAAGTGTCTAGGTCAATTTATAGGACAATTTAACATCAGACCAAAAAAATTTGATTTCCAAAAAAAAAAAAAAATTAATCCTTTAGTTATTGATAAAAAAAATGTAATAATAATACTTAGCACCCAATATGTCAGATAGTAAACGTTATTTACTAAAATCAGAAATGTTAAATGAGTGCGAGTGTTTTCTATAAAGAAATCCAAGAATTAAATTTTTAAATTTTTATTGATTTAAGAAGCCCGAAACTCGAAGTAACTCAGTGACGACGCATGTGATCTAAACAGGTTCATATCGTATTGGGTATATGAAACTTACCTTTATGATTTACGACTATTTTCATTTTGTTGTTGGCGTGATTATGGTAGTGGTGAAAAAAAATACAGAATTTTTTTTTTGTCCAAAGTGTAAAGTGTTAATCATCAATTAATAAAGCTCGTTCTACTTTTTTTTTTGTGATAAAATAAATATGTGTGGGAATTATAGAAGTACTGTTGAAAAATATAACCTCTACAAGTGTGACTACATCACAAACCAGAGTACTGGAAATCTTATATCAAGGGAAAGATGCTTTATGGACCAAAAAGATTCTCTTCGACAGTGTAAAATGAAGAAATGGCAGATTTGTATTACTTTTTACATAATTGAATAAATACCGTTAAAATATCTGGATTCAGAGAAACGACCAATAAGGACCGCAACTTTTGCAATGGGATCACCTATAACAATTATACAGTATCATACTTCATAAAGAAGAAAATGAAATTTTGAATTCAAATCTTTTGCAAAGTAAAAATTTTTAAGATTTCAATGTCATGAGAAGTCTTATTGAGTGATAAAATTACTAAAATCTTGATTGCGGTCTGGTTAGTTTTGATTTCTAACAGATAACAACAATATTAACCATCCACAATTGCTGTAAGATTGTTCGCGTATATATAAACCAAATTCAAAAAGTAAAGTAATCGGGCTTTATATAATATTGTCATGAAAAAAATTGCTTTGGTTAATTGCAATGGTAAATATTTGTTAATTGTAATAAAAAAGTATTAATTATAAATTTTATTTTTCCAGGCGAAAACTTTATATAATCGTTAGCGCATTTATTTAGCAATAAAAAATATACTTATCTGATATGTTTCAAGGGCGTCAAACAAACTTTCTCCTATTAAAAGTCTATATATGTACACTCACCTAGCAAAAATGACCGACCAACAATAATTTTGCGATTAAATACCTCATTTTTAAATAAGTATATTT